TCACGGAAACTCCTGCCAAAGTGGGAAGGACCATACACAATCACAAAAAGACGGGGTCAAGTATATACCGTCCGAAGAGGTGACAAACAGAAACGAGTTAATGCCAGTCAGCTCCAACGATGGGTATAGTGGGACAAGCCGATCAGCAACAAGCCTCAACTAGAGGATGTAGCACCAAGAAGGTCGGAACGCCTGCGTACGAAGCTATTTGACGGGGGGACGAGTGTGGTGAGAGCAAGCTGCTAGCCAATTGGTAGACATTGATCTACGCTGATTGGTAGAAATTAATCTAGGCTGATTCAACAACCAATCACAGCTGACCTAAACGTGGACAAATATGATTCGCAGACAAGTGGCTCGCATTTCTGAAAAATATCGAAAACGAGAAAGCAGAAGACTGCGTTTGTTTGCAAACAACCAATCAGAAGACTGCCTTGTTTCTGCGGGCAGAAGCCTATTAATGTACGTAAAATACATATAAATACCTGTTGGTTTTCGTAATAAAACTGATCTGTTGCCAGCCTTGTCTTCTGTTGTTACAGCTTCATTGGGAAATGCTTCTGTCCCATGTTCGCGAAAGATACCCATTGTAACTGTTTCATTCTATTTTTTATGTATTTTTCTATAAATATACGTTACCACTTATCATAAACGCCTCTTTCATGTGATTGGGCCGTTCAAGGTCGTTTGCTGATTGGTTGTTACTGGTGTCTAAAGTTTAACTTTGCCTGAGAGTTAATAGTTATAGGTACGGAGGTAGTAGAGTACTTGTGCAAGGATTACAACAAGATAAATTTTATGTAACGAATCACGCAAAAATGTAACGCAAACGTTGGACGTACCGCGTATCAACACAAATGCTGGGATTCCACCTGGTCCTACTGCTTTCCCAGCTTTTAGCATCTTGACGGCCTTCAGGACTGCTGTTCTCTTTGATGTTGATGTTTACAGGTAGTTCTGCATCCCGCTCTAGACGTAGAATATGGAAAGATGATTCACGCAGAAACTGAAAACCTGTAGCGCAACAGTTCTAAAAGTTAAAAGTGTCGCACGAGTAACCTTTGAAGAAACGGACTTGCTGTATGCAACCAAAACTGAAACAAAACAAAATTGTTCAAAAGAATGGTTACTGAACAAAGACACTCTAATTGAAAGTAGCTATCCAGAAAAGTTCATCATGGTAAACATGGCCAAGAAAGCAGAAGAGTTCTGTTCTGCATTCGTAAATAAGAAACCTTTACATATACGACTGCAATTCGAGGGTGAAATAGTTGCTAACAAGTTAAGAAAATCAGTTCAAAGAACCTTTGCTGCGAGAAAACTGTAAGCCTTATTTTCTACACGACCAGTGGGACTCCCCAAATGAAAGACGAAGTGCCTAGACTGGCCACTATCAACTGTATCTATCAATTCAGCTGCGCTAGTCGTGGAGTGAATTATATTGGCCGTCGCTCTAGGACTTTATTTTTGGTGCTCGCTTGAGAAAATCAACCCGTGTGGTTAACTAAAGGTGAAGTAAAAACTCTCATTGGTTCCATACTAGACCACCTGGCCCAAACTGGCCACAAAGCCAACATTGAAGAATTCTTCTCTATCATCTATCTGGCACCGAATAACTTGTCAAAGACATGCAGGCACCGCATATCCGTAACAGAGGATGCCATCATAGTTCGCCTTAAGCAGCCGGTGTTCTGTGTGCAAAAGAGGCAATTCCTACCGCTTCCATTGCCCTGGCCTTCCACGGAGACCATTAATTCATGAATTAATATTTTCTTTCTTAACTTTTCTGATATTCATTCAGTGTATTGTTATGTTGGTGATATAGAACTGTAATCCATTGATATTACTATCTATTCGATTTTACGGCTAAGACGCCTGAGACTAAACTTAACACTTTACTATAAGCTTCTAAACCACTTAGGTTTTACCTCTACTAATGGCACTCGACTTTCAGATGACAATGGCTACAAACTAAGACACACTAAGGGTACAGTAGCTATCGAACAATGTAAAACAGCCACCAGGCAAAAGTTTTACTTGATTAGGTATGCACAGATATGGAATAAACTACCAATGGAAATGCGTCAGGCAAGTACATTGGCCTCCTCCAGAAAGGTGCTTAATGACAAACTACAAGAGTTTGCAAACGATAGTAGTTCTAGTTCCTATCTGACAGCCTCCGAAATTATAGGTTCATTTAATGTATAAGCTTAAATACTACACCTGTTGTTTTTTGCCTATATTTATAATTCTAGGTAAAACATTAACGGTTAAGATACGTATCCCCAAACAAACAAGAAATCTCGTTTGTAAAACTACTACCCAACACAATAAGTGGAATAAAATGGACATAAACCGACAACATGAAAAAGGTATAACTCACCACAACATCACATGGACAGATGTACGCTCGTTGGGCGCCATATATCCCCCACCAACTGCAACCCACCTTTCCTTAGATAATGTGATGAACTTATATCCATAATGTTGCTGAGCAGTTAATATTCTCAACTCCTGTCGGAACAGCTGAAATTCATAAACCTTCCTAACGCTAAGAAAATACCCGTAATCAGTAGAAATCCATTAATTAATGCATCGGAAGCTTATGTATTTACTCCCAACAATGACATTGCAGATCAAATGAGATAAACACATCACTGATTTCAAAATAACTCACCAATGAACTATAATTCAAGGATTCTGCACACAGCGAAGTTATGTATGAAAATTAACTTCAAGCTTTATTTTTTTCCCAGGCACTTATAATCCATCCACTTAAGACCTGGTTTTTTTGTTAATGCGAAGTCAATACTCCTGTATTTCCTGATATGTTGCAATCACTAACAATCTAGCAGATTTTTCCAACTGTGCACAGAAATGATTGTATATAAGTGAAAAGGCTGTTTTATACTACTGGGATTAACATTTATCAAGTGTATGTATAATCTCCAGCGAACATGTAAAGCATATCTTGCTACCGCCTGTAAATTTTGATTGAGTTGTATGGTTCTATTTCTGTAACAGTTTGATGATGCCTGTAAACTGGCGTCCCTCATGTACTGTACTATGGGAATAAATTTATTTATTCATTTAAACATCTTTATTGTTGTTAGCAACATCATTTCATTCGCTCTTATGCATAAATAACTGTAGAACCTGGTAAGAAAGTTTTAAGTTGCTGGTGGTACTTAAGGTAGACCTTAATTAATCACACTAAACACTTCTCCTCTTAATACCCTAATCAGTACCCTACCCAACGTGTTAGTGCCGATTAACGAACTCGAAGTAAAGTAGTTTGTATTGGTAGTGTGTCCTGATGAGAATTATATTTTTGCCATACAAAAGTGTCAAATTTAGTAAATAAGAATGTTGTACAACTTATCTGTTAACCGTTGGAGTACCAAGCTGGAAGAGTGCGCTTAATGGTAGCATAACGACAGAACGAACCAGGTGCTAGCAGGCACACCGGAAAAACAAAGATGGCGTGGCGTCATATTACATGAATGCATTAAAACAAAAGTTCACACACTCAAGGTTATCCCCCCTTAAAATGTTGGTGGAATACCGGCAACATCCGATGCACGAAAGCAGTGGGTTGAGAGGCAGAGGTTTGCACAACAACACTCAAGGAACAAGGAAATGTGAAGAGGTAAATGGGGGTACTATACAAACGGTTTGTGAGCTCAAGTGCTATATAAGAAGTGACGCTGGTGTCTTAGAGCAATTTTGGAGTTTTAATTTGATTTTTTGCTGTTTTATTAATATTTTTTTCTACTTTTTGTATCTGTTAAATTTACTTTTTTATATCTGTTATTTATTATTTACTCTAAGCTGCTTCTCAGACCAATGCTCCACTCATCCGCTCCAACAGCAAGTACCAGTCGACACAAAAGATTAAAAAATGTACCAGAGTATTAGAAAGAACAAAGTGGGGGAAAAGAAAAATGGAAGAAGTTAAGATTTCAAAACTGGCATGAGATTATTACAAAAGCTTGGGTTGAATAGATGTAAGGAAACTTGATGAAAACACGAAAGTTATACGCAAGCTTGAGGTGAAAAAGAGGAATTCGCTAACATCACCGAAATTGATGACAGTCACAGAGCAAAAGTGGTGATTAGTGGCAAGCTTATCCCGGACAATTGCAGTCGCCATCTCTGCCCTCTGGTACATTTCTTTTGTATTTGCCTTGTAGTACAAGTTGCATTGATCTACATTCCGACTGAAGCTGAGAAACAATTGAAGTCACTTACTCATATATCATCCCTCAAGGTTTGGCTAGTAATGGCTCAGCATCCCTGATGAAATCCACTGTCACCATAACAAGACGCTGTACAGCATCTTATACAAGCACTGTCAACGATCTAAAATGGTCTTATATAGCTTTCTACGTGTTTATCAACTTACTCGTGCGGAACAACCATGCTGTGACAAATGGCGGGCTATGGGTGACTTGAGTGCAGTTAAACAAATCTGCTCGAGAATGACCAATATTAATCTGCATTCAGTTGAATTCACATCTGGTATTACTTGCAATAAAAATGATGTCAAAATCATAAAAATAAATCACTCATTTTAAATTAATACCCAATATGAACATAAAACAAGATACGATGCCGCACACAACAAAGATATATGGAGGAATTGACTTCAAGATTTATTTTTTCCCCAAATATTTGTAATTTTTCCGACACATACTTGGGTTTTTTTGCTAATGCGAAGACAATATTTCCATATTTCTTTATGTGCTCCATTGAACGACTGACTATCAGAATGTACTCACTAACTGATGTCAGAGAGGACAGCAACCATGTAATTTCACTATAAATCAAATTCATGTAATTTAAATAATACTTATCCATGCCTGTACAACTGGTGTGTCCTACATAGATAGGAAACATATATATGAATATGCAGCTACGGATTTATCGATAACTTTGTCCTTAGCATCACCACTTGTGACTTCAGCAAGATATCGGTAACAGTCTCCTTCCTTCTTTTTTTAAAATACTTTGCTTTCACTGTTGGCAAAATTCGACGTCAAATATTTCTCTATCAATGTTGAAACCTCACTGCATATTTGATTCAGTTCTTCTTCCATTTTCATGCGACATTCTTCAGTAACTTGCCTTCTCTTGGGATGATTGGCTGCCTTGGCCTCACTTCCTGAGATAACTCTCTGAGCTGATCGTCTAGCTCCCACAACATTTTTGAATGCCACAGAGAGTAAATTCCCCTCTTCATATCCCAACTGCTCTTGCTTTTCAGTGTAAAGCTTCATGGCAGAAGCCATACCATCAGAACATTCTGCTTGAACAGCTAATGTGGCAATATTTGCCAAATCCCAAGGTTTGGCTGAAGATTCTTCTAACACCCAGGATGATGGCATGACTTCACGGGTCCACAACACAGCAAATACGATAACCAGTATGCTACAAATTAATAGGGATGAATATATTTTTCCGCTGACCATTCTTTCGAAAAAATTTTAATGGGCATTTTAATCAGTTAAAACCAAATCGTTCCAAATAGAATTGACCAATTCCAGAATAAAATCAAGCGGTTCCAAAAAGAATTATATTGATAACAGAACGTTGAAGAGTTGCAAGATTATTGTGTCACACAAACATGGTACAAACCTTCAGATTTGAGTTTATACGGCGTCCAAACACCAACAACACAACGGTTGAACCAATAGATTGGCTCGCAGTTAGCAAAATGTGAATTCGAACAAAGTAAATAGCAGTTGAATGGACCACAAATGGTCTAATTATTACAAAATGACAATTGGTATATAAATTGCACCTTCGGCTGATAAGGTTGCGATATTAGACGTAACATTTATTATTAAAGTATCTTGAAAACTGATCTTGTGGCAGCTTAGACTGTTCACTGATTGACTGAAAATTTTTTATTTTTTATATATTATAGCTTGATTCCACACTGCATTTTTGATACAAGTATGAAATTTTCAGCATGTGATATCGATAGCCCAAATTTAGCAGGCCGACCATAGTTATCAGGTACGCGTCGTCGGGGGATCGAACCTCGGACCATGTGCATAGTTGGCGAGAGCCCTAACCGTTGTGCCACCGACACAGGCTAATTTTTCATCCAGCTCATAACTAGATCAACAGTTTGCAGTCCGAATTACTGTTATAGACCTGTTCTAAAATTGGCATATTATAAACCTTGTTGTGATTTTTTACGATTTTTACCTGCCTCCCATATACGGTGTAAGCAATGGTTGAGTTTTTTTCGCAAAAGACTTTCTTTTTTAGGGCCAGATTTCCAACCGGCCTCGTCGGTTTTTCTGTCTGTCTCTTCCTCATCACAACCCACTATCAATCTGAAGTGCTTCTTAAGGACTTTCTATTTCGAGCCAACCCAGCAACACTTAAAAACTGGGTGGTGTAAGCGATCCACTGTAAGTTTATAGCACATTTGCTGCACCTGTGTACTGCGTTTATGATTTATTTACCTCTTGCAGGCTATTTTCAAAATCTCTCTTACTTCAAATCTAGCCATCTGCTTCAGCAGATGACGTTTTAGAAGGCCATTCTTGTGACCTGCCTTCAGTTTTTGGATGATTTATTATGGGCTCCGGATAGGGTCTCAGTAAAATATAACAGGACCTCAGGAGTGTTTGGTGTAGCTGGTCGAATCACAAAATAGGAGAAGCTTTGAAAAGCTAACTCATGTGTTCATGAGATCCGAAGAATGTGTATTCTTGAAATATTTATTATATCCAGTCCAGAAAAATCCATTTAGTCATTCACTCTGATCTGAATTCATGGCACCAAATGAAATTCCGATTGTGTCTTTGCAGTGTTCTGTGTACATAACACAACAAATTATCAGCGCATACAATTTTTGAACCGAAGTGTAGTCTCAATGATTTAGAATTGCGTAAGATCAGTGAAATTAAACCAAGATATATCTAAGCACAAAACCAGACGGTAACCCAGCTAAAAACCAAAACAGAAATGAGGCTTCCCGAACAACTTTGTAGGATGCAGCATGTTTCCCTTGTCAGGATGATAAGAGACGTCAGCCATGGAGAGACTTGTTTCAAGGTGTAGTCTCATTTTTTATTTGTGCTCCTAATCGGTTAGACCATGGAGGTACTGTCGGCTTTCTTTTAATTAAAATTAAACACCGGTTAAAAATAAGTCAAATTTTAATGAATATTCGTTGACCAGACATGTTCTTCTGTGAGAAATGAAATCGAAGAGGGGAAAAATTCGCCGTTAACCACAATTTGATAATAATTCTACATATAATTAAATGTTTACGGTTAGTAGATCAAACTGCGTTATCCTCTTTAATGTGCCAGACTGTAGCAGTAGTCTGCTAGAAAACAGGGCCCTGTTTGATCAGGAACAGTGGTCCAACTTGTGTAGCACACTGGGTCTGGACATCCAACCAGTAAAACTATGCAGATTGTAAAGGGGCACTGCTGCTCCTCAAGGCAAACCATCCCCACTGAGGGTAACACTAGGCTCTACCGAGGATGCCGAAAAAGTTTTACTGACTTCCCAAGTCCTTTCTATTGGGAGGACCTGCAATATACGTGTTAGGCCAGATAGGCCATGGAAGGAAAGACAGATGGCGAGGGAGTTGCCAGAGCTTATTCCTTCTGCCTACATGGTTGTTCACGGCATTCCCGAACTGGTAACTGGGAACGCTTGTGAGAAGCACTGTCACGATATACAGAAATGGAGATGGTTGGCATCCCAGATGGGTCTGGGAAGTTCAGGGGCTGTCTCTATTTATAGACTGCCTCGACCCACCCACCTTATGTCATTTAACACGCCACGTCTGTTAGCTGTTAAGTTCAGCTCCCGAGACCAGTTGACTACTGCTCTCCAGAGATGGTACGAGACCAAGGACAAGATCAGCAGACACATTCGCTGCCGCGAGAGCCGGCCTCGTACCCAAAGGAGAGAACAAAACGTTGTCATAGAACATCCCCAACCCCTAGTCACAACACAGCGGTGCAGCACGGACGATGATAGCCAGTGTCATCCAAGTGCTCCGATTGAATCAGAAGAAAAAACGCCAACAGGCCGGTTCCCGGGGAATCGGCCAACTAGTTCGTAGGATAACTCCTCAACCGACAGCCCACATCACGTCAACCACCCCCCAATACGGAGACGTGGTGAGACTGACTACCAGTTGCCTGTACAGTAATGTGAGAGGTCTAAGAGGAAAACTAGCTGAACTTAGATACCTACAATCACAGCTGAACTCCAAAATCATAATACTGACGGAAACCTGGCTAATCCCAACGGTGGCAGACAGCGAAGTCAGTATAAGTGATATTGTCCTAGTCAGGCGAGATAGGGATCTGAAAGAAGGAGGTAGAGTCGCCATATACGTCGACAAACAGCTCAGATGTGTCCATGCAATCGACCCTCCCCTCATTGAGCTCCCTGACTCCATATAGTGCCATTTCACCGCTGGGTACTGTAAGTATCTAGTGGGCAGCATTTACAGATCACCTTCATGTGGAGCAGACCACAACCAGGTACTGCTGAATGCAATTTCAGCGACACAAGACATTGGTTATGATCAAATTGTCATAGCTGGAGACTTCAATGCCCCATCTCTTAACTTGATGACGGGATATGCCCAGGATAGATTCGATCGAAATCTGCTGCATACCATCAGGCAGGCTGGATTCACTGAAAATGTCAGAATGGATACTAGATGGGGCCCAGATGGGAAGTCTTCTAGACTGGATTATGTGCTCACTAGGGACCAGCTATCAGTGGAAAACGTTCAGATCACGACTCCCACAGGTAGTAGTGACCACGCGGTCATAATATTCGACATAGTCCTCTGCGAGCGTTTACAGTGGGACAATACACAGCCCTATCTGTGTTATAACAAAGCCAATTACACCGAAATGCGAAGACTTTTGTCTGAAGCAAATTGGCCAAAAAATTGGACAGAGCTTACAGTAGAAGAACACTGGAGAGTGGTAAAGGAGATCATTCACCAGGCGGTCTCAGACACTGTTCCTTTAGTCACACCAAAAGCTAGAAAGCAACGTTCATGGCTAAAAAGGGGGACACAACGCCTTCTACAGGCGAAGCGAAAAGCCTGGTTTGCGTGGCAAGTATGGAAGAGTCAACCCGAACACGAAATGTACCTCGAACTCAGGAATCGACGTAACATACGAGTCCGGAGTGATAGAAGGACATTTCAGAGAAACCTCGCCAATAAGCTTCTCGTGAACCCCAAAAGCCTATACAGGTTTATGTCTGAAAGAAAACCGACCAATCTAGTGGGTTCTGATGGGAAATCTCTTACTAGTCTTGAAATGGCAGAGACATTCAGTCTAGCCTTTCACAGGCAACTGAACAGTAATGAGGATTTTACCCCCACAAAACATCAAGATTACAATGCAAGACCAACGTGCGAAAACCTGCTGGGTACATTTCAAATTACCCCGGCTATGGTACTCGTAAAATTGGGAAAGTTGGCTTCGGGAAAGTCTGCAGGTTGCGATGACATAAGACCATCCGTCCTGAAGCAGTGTTCAGAAAGTCTCTGCCAACCCCTAAGTGCTCTGTTTCAACACTCCTTTGATGTAGGGAAACTTCCATGTGAATGGAAACGAGCCATCCTATCCCCTATCTTCAAGGGTGGTGACAGGCAGAACGCGACCAGTTACAGACCAGTTGCGCTACTCCCAGTGATATCGAAGATATTGGAAAGTCTCATTGACGACCACATGAGAAAATACTTCGACGGGACTAACCTACTCCATGAAGCACAGCACGGTTTCAGGAGGGGAAGATCCTGTGTGACGAATCTTCTACTAGCTTGGAACGATTGGACACTATCCTGGGATGTAAAGGTACCAGTCCATATGATCTTTCTCGACCTTGCGAAAGCATTCGACACAGTTACCATGGTCTGCTCCTTCACAAAATAAGCAAAGCGGGTGTTTCTGGAGCACTTCTCGCATGGCTGGAAGATTATTTAGGCGAGAGAGAATTCTGCACCAAAGTCAACCGCATCCGACAATCCTGGCACACCTCGGCATCAGGGGTTCCTCAGGGTTCTATCTTAGGACCGTTGATGTTTTTGATTTTTATCAACGACCTGCCCTGTCAACTGAATTGCTCTGCGCTTCTTTACGCTGACGACGTAAAGATTTGGAGAGCAATAAACTCATCGGAAGACTCCGACAGATTGCAGGCTGACCTGCAAACGCTGGGAGACTGGGCTCTGGCTAACGGAATGCCTTTCAACTTAGAGAAGTGCAAAGTAGTGCAACTTCATTCCGGCAGGTCACAGAGTGTAAATTACACCCTTGGTGGCCAGAACTTGAGTTGTGTGCCATCAGAACGCGACCTAGGTCTTATTTTAACAGAAAAGCTAGACACCAGTGTAAATTACACGAAGGACGTCGCCAAAGCTTACGCCACTTTACACTTCATGCATAGGCAGCTGGGAGCTCTTACTCCTGAACTATTCTTAACGTTGTATACGACATACGTGAGGCCACTTCTTGAGGTGCATAATATCGTTGCTCCTCCGCTACTCAAAAGGGATGCTAACATTCTAGAAAGTGTCCAGAGATCAGCGACAAAATGGGTGATCGGCCTCTGCAACAAATCATATGAGGAAAGACTGAAGAAATTAAGTCTTTTCACACTTAGTTACCGTAGTCACAGGGGAGACCTCATCACCGTCTATAAGATCTTAAACGACCAGGCCCACCCTAATAAAAGCATCCTGCCACTAAGTGATTAGAGGCTTCCACGAGGTAACCCGCTAAGGATAGCACACCAGAGACCAAAGACTCGAGTGCGTTCACATTTCTTCTCGCTTCGAGTTTGCCGTCTCTGGAACGCTTTACCGGCGGCCGTAACTACAGCTCCATCTGTGGAGACTTTTAGGGGGAAGCTGGACAATCATGCAGAAATGCATGGTTTGTGTCTCAATGGCTTATCCTCTTAAAATTTGAAACCACATTGTCAATGGATAAGCATACAAGCTAAATCCCCACGGCCCGTCCTGTCTTCTCCCACTGTACCGACTACTCTATCTCTTTTTTTCTTTCTTTATTATTTCACCTTTATTATTTCACTTATCTCAACCTATATTATCTACACTACAGCCTATTATTACTGTTATTACTATTCTTCTTTTATGACTTCACCGAATGACCAACGGGTGTTAGGTCAAACTCCATTCACGGCAGCAGCTGAGTCCTAACATACTACACACTACAAACCACAATCTTGACCAATCCTCGCATCACTCCTCTTGGAGTCTACCAGAGCTAAAGCAGTCGAGTGGCGGGATTTACTACACATAAGTTCACCGAAGATCTGGAACCTCTACCTTACAATCAAGAAGCGAGCTCAATGAAATCTTTGGTTTATACTAGCTCGTAATCAGGATATTGGATATTGGAAGCGATCAATTTTTTTGTTTGTTTAGATTCACTGTCGGCGTTAACTAGATTAGGCGCTAGGACGCCATGTCCGGTGTTCTATGTTCGCTATCTATGGTAAGTTATCGGTGTTTGTATGCCAAGTATTGTCTGTTAGTTGTAATGTACTAAAGTCACTGTTTTGTCTTTTTCAGCCTAACAAACGTAAAGTAAGTTGTGAATTGATGTTGTTAACTTTTAAAATACTAGTGATGCATTTGATAAATTCAGAATAACGGAAAAGGTTTTTGTTTGTGACAAACCCTATAAATTTAATAAATTTAATTGTAGCATAATGTGGCTGGTCAAGTGAGCAGTATTTGTCGGCTCAGCACTCATTAGGATGTTTCTTGGGAAATCTGTTGCCTGTTCCATTTTCTACTACTCCGGGTTCGGTTATCTGTTTCGCAAGTAGAGTGGCTATTCTGGGTTATCCTCAACTTTTTTCAAGACACTGATGAGGCATTACCTAGAAGTTATCGTATTGTTGCACCCGTAGTTCTAAATGAAGTCGATTTCAGGTAATTGCTTGAGTGCCTTGAAGGCGTAGGGCAGTCGATTCTGATAGCTCGACCATTCACCTTGCAAAATACTAAGTAGTTCGTTCCATGTTAAAGAAGACACTTGGAGAAACTCTGTGTAAAGCCCAAGGAGAGTTGCACACTGAGATGCGTTAGTTGTGTTAGAACCGAATTATTTTTGCTGGGGAAATATCTTTATAGAGCCAACTGTGGGCGCACGTGGCCAGTTCTCCGTTAACCGAGTCTCACAAGTGGTTAGACGGTCATGCTAGGTTTCATGGACTGCTTCGATCCACTAGATAACCTGGAACTTCTGTTTTAGTCTAATCTGCGTGCTATTTATCAATACAGAAAATGTTTATTCCGTTTTATCAGTAGCTGCATATTTCTCGTTAATCAGTCTAGAGGGCTATCCTGAAGTGGATGATACAGCTACCTACGAAGCATACCAAGTTCCTTTTTTTCTACCGCAACTGCCAAGGCCAGAGTTGGTGGATTGACAGACCTATACCGGAATGCATCGTAGATTCAAAACTGATCCTAAAGCGAGTATCGGGAAATTAGTAGATTTACGTAAACTTGCCACAAGCATGTCTGTATCTGAAAGCTATCTTCGTGGAAATAACTTGCAAACAAAACTACAACGTAGCTAAGAACTTCGAGGCAGTTTACAGTGAAAGTTCTCAGGCTCAGCTTGCAACAGCATGAGTAATGTTGGCCTTTTGCATCTTGTCAATTAAAGCATGTTCTGTGGTGAAGCAGTTTGGTAATCCCATAGTGTCCGTTGCGCAATTGTAGGTTTAAGTGGGTAAATGCGAGAGATGGTTGCGAGTCTAGATGGCAATGTTTTTTGTTATACGAGAATATAATTGGCTTGAAAGAAGTTGTATTTGTAACCTTCCAGGCGTCCGCAAAAAGTGGGAATGCCGTTAATTTCACTCAGTTTGTAGTTATGTTGCTTCAAGCCGTTAGATGTAGTAAAATAGGATCAAGGTAGCTAACCATTATGGTATATAGTTTGCGGTTTCCAACTACAAAGCTGTTGTGAATTGGATAAATCCTTATTTGGAAACTGACATTTAAAGACATTCGGGACCTCCCAGTTTAGAGTGAACTGAAAGCGGTAAGTGTATATCAAAGATTCTCTAACTCTGTATCCCTTTAAAAATCAAAACATACAGTCGAGATTGTTGCATAAAGATAGTATTTTCAGGTGTTAAATCTTATATTTTAAGCAGATTGAGCAGAGCTCTAGCTCAGCCTGTTCTCTATGCATATTTATTTACTAAGTAATGTAGCAAATCTAAGTCTAGGAGTAGGTTCCAAGTCCTACTTTTCTTTCCAAGTAAGATGATTTACTGGAAAACAGAGATCTTAAAATTGTCTAACTCTGTACAAACCATTAAAAAGCAACGCTGGTTTGGTAACTGGTCTAGAAAACCAGTCGTGCTCAAACAAAAAAAAAACGGTTGAATTAAAGCTTGTGCTCACGATAATGAGACATCGGAGCTAGATGAGAATCTGTGTATGGCCATGACGCTTAGAAAACAGCAGAGTAGTTTTCTTATGAATCCGGAAATTATGTAACGTAGCTTCGGATTCCTTCTTGACCATGTTTATCTCATTCTCTAATAACTATTGTATTGCTCAGTCTGTAGGTTAGCCTACAAAAAGTTCATGAATCTAGCTGGAAAGCCTGTCCTCAAAGCTTTCGTTGAATGCTTTCCCTAAAGTTCTAAAATAAGTATGATTTAAAAGCCATTCCCCAACTGTCCACCAAAAATTCTGTCTATTTACTTTGTTTTCCATATTCTGCCAGTATTATTGTTGTTTGTGCAATTTTCGCCCTCATCTGATCCTATACATCTCTACCCGAGTGCTGTTGTGGACATCTGCAGTTTATTGACGCTGCGGAGAATGAAAATCGAACAATCAGTACAGCTACGCCTGATATTCAGGAAGTTTGTAGACGTTACTTGAGTTTTCTGAGCAATCCTGGATATCGTTAGTGTGGAAAGGCAGTATGTATGATACGGAAGATTGACTAGAAGTGGAGTTGGTGGTCAGTATGAAATTGTCAATAGTTTGTAGTAGTAGCAGTATTGCATGATTAATACCCGCAATAAATTTATATCTCCTTTTAGTGTATTTTGGTTTCAATTGTAAATATTTGATAATAGAACATTAATAATCCCTAGTTCCACCTTTTTACTTCATTTGTAAGTAAAGAAATTTGATTTTAACCTATTATCTTGCTGTTTTCTTTCTTTAGCGAGATTTAAGTGTACCAAGCATTAACCTACAACGCAACGGTCACCCTTCAATGGATTTGGAGTCAGTCGATACTAAAAAGGTAAGGTTTATTAGTCAATGGTTATTCACTTTTGCAGTCGCGTGTTGATCACCGAATAGAGACACAGCCATCTCGTGTTGTACATATACGAAATATGCCTTCTGATGCAACAGAAAATGAGATTGCGCTTTTTACAATACCATTCGGTTCACTCAAGAATATGGTTCTTTCTAAAAGAAGTAACCAAGCTCTTATCGAGATGAATGTTCTGGAGGAAGCTGCACAACTAGTCACTCATTACCTGAAATATCCTGTTACTTTGCATGGGAAACACCTGATCTTTCAGTTTTCTACACATTCACACCTTGAATTAGTTTCCGAAAATGATGCTGTCGTTAATGCGATCAAAAATGCGAATCGAGTAGTTCAACAAGATCTTCCCGGTGTACAATCCGGTGTCCCTAACACTGTATTACGTGTAATCATAGACAACATTATGGGGCAGCAAATTAATCATGTTATTCTGTATAAGGTAATTTCATCTTCAGTATTAATGTAACCCTGCAGATATTTCATCGGTTTGGAACCCTTTTACGTGTGTTAATTTTCCTACGCAATAATCAGTATCATTGTTTATTGGAGTTCCAGAATCATATCCAAGCGTTCGTCGCTATGTTAGTGAGTGAAATCTTGTTACAGTCTACTATTACTTTTCATCATTGGTATTAGCTTTTCTCATATTGAAATCAGTCAGTCTTTTTATTCTATCTCGTGTTTTTAATGAGCTTCATTCTTAAACATAAAATATCCTCTCAACTTCCTAAATTCCTATTGATTATCGCTATTACGATCACATTAAAAAGATATTTCTCATGTATCGAAGTGATATTATAGGGTTTGACTGTCTTTAGAATTTCTTCATTAACATGTTTATTGAGAAAGAATATTGTATATAATTCAAACAATCAGTTTGTTTCTAATTAGACAGTGTTCTAACATTGTAAATAGTGAACCGTTCTTGTTTACAGTTTGCTAGCTAAATTACACACACAAATTTGTTTAATTCAATAAGAATTTATTTCGTCATCTACTATCAACATTTTTGAAAATTATTCATATTCCTATTGCATCATATACTTACAACATTACTACTTCAATCTCTTAGTGTAATATTACTTTTGTTTTTCAGACGTGTTCAAATGAACTTTGATCTTAAAACATCTGTTTATGAATTCATAGTGTTCTTAATTGGAATTAATTCTAATCTGTTTGGGGGTATAAAGTATGATTTGCGCATACTTTAAAACCGCAACATTTCTGATGTTTAGTCAGGAATGGTTTACTATTAGTGATACAGTTAATTTGTGTCTGCAATGTGACGTCATTCACATCCCTGTATTTAGGCAGCAGCAAAATCCTATGCAACATTTCTCCTTTTAACTTATTATTATAACTTTTTTACAATTTCGAAACTTATATTTCATCTTTGTTGTTTCCTTTTAAAATTATCTTACCGTAAACTTCCGTATTTTAGCTCCTCAATGGTCAGAATATATATACTGGTTGTTGTTCTCTTCACGTGGAGTTTTCGAAAACCCGAGGACCTCTGGAAGTTCGCCGTGAAAATGATAAATGTCGTGATTACACCATTTCACCTCTTACTGAAGAGGAATTAAATAGTTTACAAGCATTACCAAGCGGAGTAAATACGACTACAGTAAATCAGACTGTGAATGCGATTACTCAACCCACATTGGGACAGGGTTTGTCTCTAGCTAATCCAACTGCAGCATTCACTACTGTTCCTCAAGCCCCACCTGCAGGCATCAATGAACTTGCTCTTCAGTTAACTCTTCTTGCTCAACAGTCTGGTCTTGCCTTAACACCGGCTGCAGCCGCAGCTACTGCTAGTTTCATGGCTTTAACTGCCCAAGGTGGAAATTCTGCTGTAAACCCAACATCAGGAAATATAATAAATGCGGCAGCATTGTCAACTCAGCGTACTGCCCTGCCGAATGTCCCAAATCAGGCACAGATTGTGCCTACTTTAGTTCAACAGTCTGTACCTAATATGGGACAAACTGGGGCTAGTACTGTGTTAATAGTCTCGAATCTCAACGAGGAGGTATGTATTGATTATCCTTAATTTGTTATCTTTTTAAACATTTCCTTTTCGTTTTATTTCTCTTGTGATAATTCATCTTATTCTGTTTCTTATTATTTATTGTTTTATCCATTGTGATAAAACATGCTTGTTTCTATTCGTGTTTTTTAACTTATCGCTTTTTACTGTTTTCCTTTTTCTTCTCTACCCTCTATCATCGTTTGATTCCAATGGTTCGACTTCATTGTGATATGGTGCTTAATTTACATTTACGAAATGGTTACAATTTATGCTCGGTGTACAAATCAACTCTCTATGGTGGTCTGTCTACATGAACTTAATTCGTCTCTTTATTTTTACCACGTTTCGGCCTCCATTAATTATTCCTATACATACATATCATTCGCATGCCTACAAATATTCATTTTGAATGTTTGTTTTCACGTGTTTACCTTGGTGTTCTATTCCAATTATATGTATATACTTGGATTCTATATCTACTACTACTACTACTGTTTTCTGAGCTAGAAAGTATATCCAGATGCATTATTTACACTTTTCGGTAGGTTTGCTTATTATTATTTATTTATTTTTCATTCTTTTAGACTGAATTTCAAATCTCTTTCTGTTTGAAAGATGTTATGTGCATTTAGAAACACTTTACCTAGTTATTCTTACTGTTTCCAAATTTATCTAACTTCTCTAATCGAGATATTCACATAATGAATTAAATATAACTCTTTGATTTGTCACAGGTGTTTATGGTGATGTAACTCGGGTCAAGATAATGTTTAACAAAAAGAGTACTGCTCTGGTTCAATTCTCAGACCCTCAACAGGCACTGACAGGTATGTCTTGTGATAATTACCTTAATGCTTCCTAGCTCTTTATTATCTGAATGGGCAACCGTTGTATGGAAAACCGTTGAAAATAGCTGTCTCACGCTTCAATATTGTTCAATTGCCAAAAGAGGATTCAGATGTTGGACTGACAAAGGATTATACGAACAGTCCACTTCATCGATTTCGTAAACCGAATTCTAAGAATTTTGCCAATATTTATGCGCCAAATCATGTCCTGCATTTAAGTAATATTCCCTCTGCGATTACAGAGGAAGAAGTTAGAATGATTTTTGAAACCAAAGGATATCATGTTACAGATTTCAAATTTATGCAGTAAGTTGTCTTGTATTTCTCCGTGTTGCTAATTCTTCTTCTTGCCTTGTTTCTTTAGGAAGGATAAGAAGATGGCACTGATTCAACTTGAAAATGTAGATATGGCTATTCAGGCTTTAATAGTATGTCAACTTTTTCCCTTCGGATTAAATTTATTTCTTCATTTTTTTTTATAGGATCTTCATAATTGTCAGCTAACAGAAAATTCTCATTTGCGTATCAGTTTTAGTAAGACTGCTATATAAATACCTTTCAGACCTCGTTGGTTGTCTACCTTTATTTAACTTTGATTCCTGGTACATAAAAATACATTTTATATAAAAACCAAGTTTACTTTTGGCCTTTTATCACAATTCAGATATGTTTATTTTATTCAGAGTTAATTCTTCCAACTTTCTCAACTGCATTAGCATATTGTGTGCTTCAAAGTTTAACTTTCATGTATTAGTCTGAACACAGTGAGCAGCAGTAATCGTCGAATGTTTGGCAAACGATTCTCTCCTGTCAAATTTAAGATGATGCTAAAGAACTAGACTAGATTGACTTCTAGGTTAAAGATAAAAAGTGAAATGGTTGTTGGTGCGTGTTGACCATTTCACTTATTTGGGAAGGTGTGTCAACCTCTACCGACTGGTTGCTGACGAAATCTCAGCACAAATACAAAAGGTTCGTGTTTCGCTCATCAACTTACATCATCTGTGATGTAGGCATAATATCCGGTTGTCGGCCAAAGGACGTGAGTGATGCGCAGCAGTTCGCTCCTCCTTCATTTATGGCTGTAAACTATGAAAAGGTTAGCTATCTTCGAGCATGTATGTTGGCGGTGTTATATAGCATAGTATGGTGAGTCTGTCTTGAAGAATAGTACTAACTGTAGTAGGGGAATAAGATGATGAAGGTTATGTGGGTAGAGGAGAATGATGCTCAGGAAGGATTCGTGTGCTTTTGGAAGTGTGTGGACGGTTGTTACTTCCCGGCTGCCAACACCGTTGATTGATTCTTCGAGTACCTGAGAGAGGGTTAGTGTTGCGTGACCGCTGAGCCCAAGGGACAACTGCTTGAGGCCGTCCACACGGCCTGTATGAACTGGTTTCTTGGTTTGGTTCCATATTAGTAAACTTACCGCCTGTTACGGACCACCGTAGGGTAAGTCGGGATGTGCAATTTTCGGGATCGACCTTTTCTAACCCCCTCTCTCCGGAGTGGAGAGACAGCATAGCTGGCATGCTGGTCATCTGCTGTTATATCCCTGTTCCCCGGCAGTATGACTTCGCCCTCAGACCCCCAGCATAGTGTAAGAAAGATTCTTACACAATTCTGGTAACTGCTTTTAATCAAATCACTATCCTGACAACCTTCCTGGCATGGTAGGACCTGCAGGAACATTGGTTACAGCCAGTGTAGCTTGTTGGGTCATCACGATGTGCAAGCCTGACCACCACGTCAAGGTAGCAGCTATCGGTCGGGAGTTTGGTGAGTAATATTGAGGTTGAGTGTCAGGTCAATAGGGAAAGTGAATTGATAGGGTTGCGATGATACGTGGATTGATATGGCTTGGATATGTGCTAAGCATGTCTAACCGTCTCCTTCCTTGACCGGTAATGTTAGCTGATATAGAAGTTGGAAGAGAGTTATTGGAGGTTAAGGCATAACTTGGAGTCAGTCTGAAGGTTTTGACAGCTAGTTTGAGCCGAGTATGCAGGTGTAGGCTTTGTGGTTGGGTTCTCCGTGATTCTAACAGCCACTGGCTGGAGACAATTTATGGTATGACTCAGTCTTTCTAAATGTTACAGATGCATTCACTTTGTGATTTCTCCTATCCGTTAAACGGTCGTGTTAGTATTCATTCCCCTTCAATCTTCTGCTTATTATAGTCTGATGAAACTCGGTAAGTCAGTATGGCTTTGCAAAGTAGTTAAGAAATTGTAGTAGAACAGGAGCTGTGGGTTTCACTTGACGTGTACAGTGTTGAAGTTAAATCTGGTAGTAAGCGAATGCTTTTCTATCACTTGTCTATCTTATGCATTATATTCGAGCAAAAGAAATATTCGAAAAGGAGTCAATTTAATCAAACGTTTATATTCACAACTATTTTCATGGTATGTCTACTTGTGAAACTCACCGTAATTTACTGACATAATGGCTTTGAAGATTGATCCTACTTTCAGTAGCCACTGGTTGGTTCTTTCGTTATATATGACTATAAGTCATTCAAGCCCACAAATTGACACGAATGGTTTGTGGCCCTTAAGTTTTGTGAAGTATTCTTTAGATTTGATTGCTCACAAGCTCAATTACATAGTCAGGAAGGAGTTTCGTAAACAGTTTTCTGTGCTATGCTTTTCATGTGGTAACCATAATATAATCGTGTTTACGGCTTTATGCGTCGAATGTTGGGATTACATCTACTCTCTATCGATTTGCTGGTATTTTCTCAAAAATCGTAACGGTAGTTCTGGCTGCGGTGCAGGCGTGCTCAAATGATATGAACAATCTGTCCGTCGTCTTGAGGGTTGAGACAGCGAAACTACGATCTGGTAGTGTCGTAAAGCTTCGAATCGTGGCTTAGAGCTTCAGTATACACCATACTCTTAACCCGTGTATTGGTATCCTCTTGGTTAACGTAGATTTAGTCGTGAGGGTGTTTGATAAATCAAATCACTTGTCCTCGGAACTTACTAACATGTTGAATAATCTTGACAAACTTCTCTAGATTCCGACTCATATTTGTTAATTGAAGATAGAAGGCTTAAAGTATATGTTAATCCTTTTCTGGCAAATTTCTGTGCTAATCCCAAGCCTTCTTGGGTGAGTTAGTTGACGGCACCACTTCTGGTGTAACAACAGAAGACAAGGCTGGCAACAGATCAGTTTTATTACGATAACCAACATGTATTTATATGCATTTTACATACATTAATAGACTTCTGCCCGCAGAAAGAAGGCGGTCTTCTGATTGGTTGTTTGCACACAAACGCAGTCTTCTGCTTTCTCGTTTTCTATGTTTCTCGGAAATGCGAGCCACTTGTCTGCGAATCATATTTGTCCATGTCAAGGTCAGCTGTGATTGGTCCTTGAATCAGCCTAGATTAATTTCTACCAATCAGCGTAGATCAATGTCTACCAATTGGCTAGCAGCTTGCTCTCACCACACTGGGAGTCGGTCTTAGGAGTTGATAACTCGGTGTGGGGACCAGTGTTCCACAGATATATTGTTTCTCCTTGTGCTCTGCTGCCACGTCCTTTAAGATGCTCTGACCTGTTGGGAGGTAAAAAAAGAATCGATGTGGTCCGTAGCCATTATTTAAAAATTTAATGTAGTGAGATCTCTCTGTATACGGTATGACAGGGAGAAGGCTTTCCTCGTATGATAAGTTAGTCATGCCAAGCATCATGCTTGTTGCCTTCCTCTGAACCATTTCTAGAATATGTGAGTCCCCTTTAAGACAAAGGTTGGCTGCTTGGATACAGTTTTTCAGTCTTGACCTCACCAGCTATATGTTTATAAAAAGGTGAATATCTCTTTGGTGATGTTTGCAAAGGCTCTGCGAAATGGCAATAAAGATCTGAAACTATGTGCTGTCACCGCGCGACAGTGACGTGCTAAAACATCTAGACCCAAGTGACTCTGAACTGATGGGAGTGTGAGTCCGTCGAGTTCGTAGGAGCTGACGCTTGCGTGTCCAGTATGCATGGTTGTGCATTTCGCTACATTGATCAGGACACATCCATTATTTGAACTAATCTAACAATCTGTTTAGACCTCCTTACAACGTGAGCTCATCATTGTCTCCCTTCATCTCCCTCCAAATTTTTAAATCATCTTCGTCTGGGACCACAAGGAAATCGGTGGGTACCGATAACTGAAAACAGAGGATTTGAAAGTGATGTGAAATTTATCGCTTAAGATGTGCTTTTTGATCTGCCTATGAAATCGACTACAACCTTTACATTTCCTTTGATACCATTCACTGCGACGTGAATGTCCACTATGCTTGTTTAATCTCCTGCTATGTCTTAGGACATGCGAGTGAGGTTTTTTCAGAACTAGCTGTCATCTATTGAAATGTCCAGTTCTCTAAATTAGCTTCAGTGAGTCTGTACATATTAAGTCAAATGTGTGGACATTTATTTGAAGTAAATTGGTGGAATCCAGGATGTGCATTTTGTCCTATTTCCGACTCGCCACCTACTGGATGTACCTCAGTGAATAGTGGTGTTCCCAGTGAGGCTTCTACCCGGTACCCATAGTTTTAAACTCTGAAGCATTATTCACTTGGACCACCCGAACCTCCACCTATTGTGCAATGGGTATTAGTAATTATTTAGTTTAATTTGGCCTTTCCAGTTGATTGACTGAACCGAAGTGCTTGTCTTCTTGTAGCCCAAGTGGTCTAATGGATAGCGTCTTAGCGTTTGAAACTTGAACGGATTGGGTTCGAGTCTTAGTGGGAATGCCATCATTCACTAGGGAATGCAGTCACTAGGTGAAGATTCCCAAATAGGACTAAGTGAGCATCCTGGCATTCACAGCTAATTACGATCCACCAATTTGCTTCAAGTATAATAATCAGACATCATCAAAGCGTCTTCACAAGGAGCCGATATGTCAACCTGATGTCGAGCACTTCGGTCCAATCAATCAACGGTAAAAGTTCAAATTTAACTAAATAAGTATGGACATTTACTATCGTCAACTGTGTATTCTTCTAGGTTTCCTGTGGTGATATAATTAATGTTTGTCTCAGCAATCCTAATTACGTGCTTGTGTCTTCTATCATGAATCCCTCCCTATATGCAGTAATAGTCACACAAACAACGTCTATACAAAATAGTCCGTTCATCGACTGGAATATCATTGGTAACATTGGACTTTAGAATATTCCAACCGACTTCAGATTAAATCATCAAGTGAAATCAGTAAGACAAACATTAGAAACCAGAGACTGCTGAACAGCTGTTCTGTTGTAGTTTTGTAACAACAGAAGACAAGTACCAGGCAACAGATCGTTTATTAAGGAAAATCAACACATATTTATAGATTTTAATGTACATTATTGTAGATTATTGTTAGTAGAAAATACAGTCTTTTGATTGGTTGTTTCTCACAGAAAGTTAACCTTGTATCTCTTTGTGGCTATGTCAGATCATCCATATGCTAACTGTATCCGCCTACGCAAAGCCTTTGTTCTCATTTTCTCACCACCAATATTGGGGTGACGTCAATTACTGTCTACCAACTTTGGCTAGCAGCCAGCTCTCACCACAGTTTAAACTCTTCAGTACAATGTACACTTATGACCCTATAACCAAAGACACAGTTCAGGAGCTTCAATTTACTCGGCGAAACTGCTGATGATTCATTCACTAGAGCAGAATTTAATGGCCAGTTCATGAATTCTAACAACTTCCAATTCTCACCAATGGCAGCCACTACTACGTACGTTTTTGTCAACCTCACTGGTCACGACTTCTCACTGGAAGACATCAGGCAACCTTTCCCTCTGGTCAATTTCTGGTAAGCATTTGATTAATTTCAAGTGTCGATTGGATAATGCGACAAACAGCGGG